TACCAAGGGCGGCTGCAAGCTGTCGTGGAAGAAGCCCGAGGATGACGGAGGTGAGTCATGTACCAACCAGCACGGTTCTGACGAGGCGAAGTGGAGATCACAGTCTTATCCGCACTTTCTGACGTCACCAAGGGCGGCTGCAAGCTGGCGTGGAAGAAGCCCGAGGATGACGGAGGTGAGTCATGTACCAACCAGCACGGTTCTGACGAGGCGAGGTGGATACCACAGTCTTGTCCGCACTTTCTGACGTCACCAAGGGCGGCTGCAAGCTGGCGTGGAAGAAGCCCGAGGATGACGGAGGTGAGTCTCATGTACCAACCAGCACGGTTCTGACGAGGCCAAGTGGAGATCGCTGTGCGCGCCAGGCAAGCCCGGCGGCCTGAAGGTGGTGACGTCACCAAGGGCGGCTGCAAGCTGGCGTGGAAGAAGCTCGAGGATGACGGACGTGAATCTCAAATAAGATCATCAAAGTACAGTCAGCGTCAAACACCCAAAGTGGCTAAAAAATTCGCAACACGTCTTTGTTCCAATTGGAATAAGGTTCTGTTGTCGACTTTTTGATCACCTTGGGTCTCACGAAGTATTTGACGCTGACTGTACTGTTTACTCAAGTCTGATTGACTAGCCGGTCAGTCTATTCGGTACTTTCGATCATACCGGCGAGATGCTAGGACTGAAAGGAATAGATGAACTTGAAAATCTGATATCACCTCTCTATCACACGACTTAAACTCCTGTATAGCCAGGATCTACACTTTGGTTTCCAATGAAATCCAACCAGTGAAGGGTAAGTAGCCCCGGAGAATAGCTTCCTGTGGAAACGGCGTTAGCTGGAGATAAAATAACTTGAATGTGTTGACTACACCACAATGCAGCCAATGATCGCAACGAGCATTTAACTGCTAAGTTTCCTATTTCCTTTTATTTTTGTGCTACGGTTATGAATTTTTAATATACCTATTTGTATTTGCGTATCCCATTGTAACTAATCTTTATTTCTTTCTCTTCCAGGCAAACCCGTCTCCGGCTACGTAGTAGAGAAACTAAACAAGGCTACCGGCCGCTGGGTGCCGGTCGGCAAGACCGATGACACCGAGATGGAGGTCAAGGGCCTCCAAGAGGGAGAGGAGTACGAGTTCAGGGTCAAAGCAGTCAACGAGGAGGGCGAGTCCGAACCTCTGAAGACCGACCACTCGATCATCGCTAAGAACCCGTATGGTAAGTGGTTTTTTTTTATCCACAACGAGGAAGCTCTTGGCCTGTATCTCACCTGACGGTAAGTGACGATCAGGCCGAAAGTGGAAGCGAGCTTCACCCGGAATCCTCAACCACGGAGGAACTGGCTATCTTACCTCTAACTGCCGGAACACAAAAATGATGTTAACATTGTTGTTATGGCGACAGACTTAGGTAAGATGGTGGTAGCTAGCCAGGCGGACTTAGAACAAGCCCTACCACCAACCAAACCGAACAGAAAAATCTGCCCCCACTGGGAATCGAACCCGGGACCTCTGCGTCTGAAGTAGGTGGTTTTTACCACTAGACCACGGAGGCGGTTGAGGATAGAGTTCATTATGGGTTAACAACATTTTTAGCATCTAGAACATTCGATAAGCGAAGGAGATGGAGGTCAAGGGTCTCCAAGAGGGAGAGGAGTACGAGTTCAGGGTCAAGGCAGTCAACGAGGAGGGCGAGTCCGAACCGCTGAAGACCGACCACTCGATCATCGCTAAGAACCCGTATGGTAAGTGGATAGAGTTCATTATTGAAATCTTGAAGGTTCATCAGAGCCAAAGGCGATCCAATATCAATATATCCAAAATCTGGTAGCAATTTTACATAATGTCGGCGCATCTTGCTGCTGACCTATTTAGCAGCAGCTCTACGTAATTAAAGATTTTCTATAACAAAAACATGACTCAAGATTTTTCAATCAAAAATGACATTAGTATGTTATAAATTACAATACAGGCAGGCTAGGATGTTCGGCATAATAAAATCCTATCAATGATTTTAAATGACATTCATCATCATCATCATTTTAGCCACAGGACGTCCACTGTTGAACATAGGCCTCCCCCAATTACTTCCACATCGCACGGTTGGTAGCGGCCTGCATCCAGCGCCTTCCTGCTACTTTTATCAGGTCGTCGGTCCACCTTGTGGGTGGACGTCCCACGCTAACATTACTTAGATGACATTATATCGCGTGAATTCGATAAAATGGCGAAACAAAAGCTTATCGCGGCCTGCTTCTTAGGCTTACTGGTCTTTGATATAGGTCATAGTATTTGAGATGACTTGTTTTCTTATTAAAACTATACTGAGACGTGTTCTATAAACCCAAATTACTATAATTCTTATTCCTTCATTCTCCAGACATCCCCGGCAAGCCGTCCGTACCAACCATTGAAGATTGGGACGTGGACCGCGTGGACCTCAAATGGGAGGCGCCCAAGAACAACGGAGGCGCCCCCATCACCGGATACGTTATTGAAAAGAAAGAGAAGTTCGGACAGTGGCAGGAGGCGCTTGTCACTTCAGTGAGTGTTCATTTGATACTTTTACAAATATATTGTTTTCCATCGAACTTTTTTTTTGTTAGGTTGTAAGAACTGCGTTGAACAACGACCAGAATAACCCTCGTTCAGAAATATTCGTAAATGTCAGAATTCTCAATTAGATCGAAGCATTTTTACGTCACTCAACATCTCTGAGTCTCATTGGCTTAGTCTTATGACAAGAGTTCAAAATAACTTCTACTAACGGTCAAGCTGTAGATTCTGAGTAACAGCCATATTTAATATTTCTAACGTGAAACTTGTAGTCAACTGTCTCAGCTCTGCTTAGATTGCTACCAGCTAGGTTACTTCGTTCGTTTCAGCCGAATGACGTCCACTGCTGGACAAAGACCTCCCCAAGGATTTCCACAAAGACCAGTTTTGCGCCGCCCGCATCCAAGCACCTCCCGCGACCTTCACCAGATCGTCAGTCCACCTAGTGGGGGGCCTGCTCACACTACAGCATGCTCCATCGCCCTTTGGGTGACACGACCACGTCTCAGGTTTTACTTATGTGCTAGTTATTTCAGCTACAAATATTTTAAAACAAAATGTTCCCTTCCAGACGCCAGAATGCAAGGCCCGCGTGCCGGATCTGAAGGAAGGCAACACGTACCAGTTCCGCGTGCGCGCCGTCAACAAGGCCGGCCCGGGTGAACCCGGCGAGCCCACGCAACCGCACGTGGCTAAGGCCAGGTTCTGTAAGTATCTCAAGTATATCAAACTAATTTAGATGATAGATGATCAATGATTGCAAGGCAAAAATTATCTAAAACACGATTCTAACCCTAAAGTGCTTAGGTTCCAAGAGTTGGCTTGAGTAATGTGCCAAATTAGTGAGAAGACAGCTGTAAAGAGCAGGGCTTCTTTATTCTAAAATTATAGGCGCTGATGAATTTCACAATTTTATTGACGACTTTCAAGTAATAGCACATTAAACGTTTGTTGCAGACACACAAGCAAAAAAAAGAGTTCTTAGTTGCTAGAGTAAAAAATACACATTTTTATTCGATGTTGCCAACAACAGCATAAACAGACAATTCCAGGGCACAAATTCTCTAAAAATATATTCTATCTCAGCCCTAAAAACTAAATCAAGTGCCTAGTTTTCAATCAACCGATCATTCTAATTTAAAGTAACATCAAATTTTAGTAACGCAATTAATCGGAAGGTAGTTAGCCAATGAAGGCTACCGTATGAACGCTAAAGCAGTAAAAACTCACGGATTTGCTCTAAGGTGGCACAACTGTAAAGTCTTGTCAGTCGCCAATAGTGCCAACTAGTGAGCGCAAAGACAGTACCTACTCTAAATGTTCATCACATTCTGAACTATGCAGCCCCTTCCATTGTGTATCTTATCCAGTAGATTATTCCTCAACTACTGTAAACTTTTAATTAAATTGTGATCCGTCCAGCCCCTACAATAAAGCGTATTTTCCAGTGAAACCGCACATCAATCGTGACAAGATGACGGCGATCCGCGTACGCGCGGGCACCACCATCAAGTTGGACGTCGACATCAAGGGTGAACCGCCACCAACCAAGACCTGGACCTTCGCTAAGAAGGTGTGTATTAAGGCTATGTGTAGTCTTTGGACAATTCTACACAGCGCCAGCTAGCCCCAAAGTAAGCAACTTAATGCTTGTGTTATGGGTGCTAGCTTAACGGATATACTACTTATATACTTTTTTTTTTAAATACATAAATATTATACATAGTCACACCCAGACCCGTCACAGAAATTAAAATTCATCATTTCAATTTCTGCCCGGCCGGCATCGAAAGAACATCAGTGTGCTTAGTGCGAGTTTAGGTAGACCAAATGCCATCACTAGCGACTGCGTAAAAAATGACATGAAATGTATGACATATTTGAAAATTATAAATAACTTGACAAAATATAAAGTATAGTTGAGATGCGACTCTTAACGCTAAAAAATTAAATAAATAAATAAAATATAAATTAATAAATTCTTTATTGAATAACTTATTGACAGTTTTTAACAATAGGCTAATATTAAACTATAATAGGTAAAAGTACATACGTGCCTGAACTAAGAATTATAATTCCTGTATCTCAGGCAAAAAAAGGCTTACATTACTTTATTAATAGAACTATTTCTAGCAAAATATATAATCTATAGCCTGACTAGGAACATAAAAACCCTGGCATAGAGGCGCGTCAATAACTATGTATGACATATTGTTAAGCGCCCCGAGTGTATACTATCAAGAACTAAAATCTTCATAGTTTGTTTTGACGCACGAGCTAGCGACGACGTTCATTGTAAACTCGCACTAAGCACACTGGTGTAATTTTTGTGGCAAAGTACAAACTACAACCCAATCAAGCAACTGCGCACCTCGCTGGAATGTGACTCTCCCTTGCACTTACCCGCACAACTCGCCCCGTCCGTACAGTACTATCAACTTAAGCTGAGAATTGCATTTGTGTGAGTGATCGCCAAAAGTACCGTTAGTAAAACACATACAAATAAAATTAATGTTTTATTAAAAGGAAGTCTATAAAACACTTGCTACCAATTGGGCCGATGTAACGACATTTGACAGATCCTTTAAAATAAATAAATAAATAAAAACAGGTCCTCGCTCAGCATATGCCAAGGCACGAAGTACCTCGACGCTGATATTCTGCGAGCACCGTTTATAGAGAGGGCGTCCAGCCAGCCTTACAAAATACAACAAAAAGACAAACTTTATAAAATTACAAAATAAAAACAGACTAAAAACTTTTCGTTCACACCTTTAAAATACGTATTCAATTTGCATAAAATTTCTTTCACTTGGCTGCTTAATGGATTTCGTACAGGAAATTCACTTACAGTAGGAGCCATTTCACTAATATTTGGAACACAATTACATAAAATTACACGTATCTGCTACCAGTACCGGGGGTGAAGTGAAGTATGTGAGCGGCAAGGAAGCGGTGCGTGGCGGACGCGCCGCGCTTCAGGCCGCTTGCTATAATAAACCATGCGCGGGACGCGCCGCGCTTCAAGCCGATTGCCACTCTAAACTATCGGTGTGCACTCACACAAATGCAATTCTCAGCTTAAGTTGAGAGGACTGTACCAGAGCGTCGATGTGACGTCACCGCTGCTAGGTGCGCAGTTAACTCAATCGAGTTGTACATGAGATTCTATAGTGTTTAAATTGATGTGCTGTCGTCCGTATAACAAAATACGGCCAGTGAGTTTATGGTATTCAAAATTTTAATTAATGGAAAAGCCATCCAAGTTTTATTGGGTATCCCTTTTCCGCTATGAATAGTTCCCTAAAATTGTCGGACTGCATTCAGCTAGACTCCATAAATTCCAGAGTGCGTCTAGTCTACATAAAAATACAGCTGTAAGAATAATCATATACGAGTACTATCAATATCAAATAAACAACAAGGTAAAGCGAGCGCTAAAATAAAAGAAAATCTCTGCAGCTTTGCTGACAATGGGCCCTGTCTAACAATGATAGAGCTAATTTATTGTTTCTTTTGTTGTATCCAGGTCCTGGAAACCGGTCCAGGCCTCAAACTGGAGAACGAGGACTACAACACCCGTCTCCAGATCTTCGACTCGTCCTGGGCCAACTCTGGCGTCTACACTTTGAAGGCTGAAAACGAATCTGGCGTTGACGAGGCTACAGTGGAAATCACTGTTCTTGGTAAGTTGCCACCTAATATTGAACCTTATTGCCTTGTTTTCTAAGATCCATATATGCAATGAAACATTTAGACTTGTTATGCTCGTCAGGACAGTTCTTTGCTGGAGATTGCGTTGAACATTTATCAGACCAAAGTTTCTTTGGTTTAAGAGGTAGTAGGTAGTGATAAGAAATTTAAGAGGCTGATAAAGATGACAAATGCATCCGTTATTTATCTTAGCACCAGTTGTTATATTGTTCCGAAATGTTAAAGCGAGCTACTTTACGATGTTATGAGTGCCCTAAATAAATTATTCTAAAATGTTCTTTAAATTAATAAAGAAATTCATTCTTGCTGTTTTTATTCGGTCAAAGGAAGGCCTACTACTGGACAAAACCTCCTCTTACGACCATTACGACCGATTTATTATTAAAACTGCCATATTAATCTTAACAATCTTTTACCCCAGACAAGCCAGGCAAGCCTGAAGGCCCGCTAGAGGTATCAGACGTTCACGCCGACCACGTGAAACTGAGCTGGAACAAGCCCAAGCACACTGGTGGACTGCCACTCAGTGCTTATGTTCTTGAGAAGATGGACACGCTTACTGGGAAGTGGGTGCCAGCAGGCACCATCGACCCAGACAAGACCGAGGCTACCGTCACTGGTAAGTCGCTGTCACTGATGAGTCGCTTTACTGTATAGATGACTGTACTCAGTCACTGTCTAAGCTGGAACATTACTGGTGAGTCGCAGTCGCAGTGTCAGAAGACTGGTGAGTCGCTGTCACTGAAGAGTAGTCGTTGTCACTGAAGAGTAGTCGTTGTCACTGATGCGTATTTAGTGTCACTGTTCACTGAATGTGATAAAACAAGAAAAACTTTTACTGTGGAAAGTGATAATCTGCTCAAAACCGATGTACAGTTTAATCTATCCAATTTCGCCATTGGAGGTACACCGCTGAACATATTCCTCTCCAATGACTTCCAAATATGGCCGGTTGAAAGCGGCCCGTATCAATCACGTTCAGCAAACTTTTTTCTGTCTACTTAAAACAATGTAACTTACGCCCCACCCTTTTCTCACAGGCCTAGAGCCAGGCCACACCTATCAGTTCCGCGTGAAAGCCCTCAACGAGGAAGGCGAGTCGGAACCCCTGGAGACCGACCACGGAACCCTGGCCAAGAACCCATACGATGTGCCAGCGCCGCCTGGCCTGCCAGACATCGTGGACTGGGATGAGAAGTCCGCCAAACTCAAGTGGGAACCTCCCATTAGGGATAATGGTGCTCCTATCACTGGATACATCATTGAAGTTATGGATAGAGACCGCGGAGAGTTTGTCAAGGTAAGCGTTTAGCATTGGCTTTCAAATAATAACATATTAGTTTTACTCAGGTACAAATCACGTACTTGATACATAAGGTATATTAAAACTTATCCTTTCACCATAGTCTGTCCATGGACGCAATAAGATTGGAATATTTGTTATAAACTCCACTTAAAAGTGATTGGAATCAAACTGGCTCTGCTATCTTTCACATGTTAGTCAAGCTGGATATCATGGATTCCAAACTCTCTTAAGTTGTCATTTGGAGCGGGAGTTGAAGCTAGTGACAAGCCTCCAAGACCTTTTAAAATGCGTAGATAACTATTTTGAGATCGAAAGACTACCACCATGTCAATGGCTCGAACTCCTCCTATAGTCTTCTGATTTATTTCGTTGAGTGCGGACCAATGACAGTTTAACTTTCCCCCGGGATCAAAATTGACTTTCACTGGTTGGGTTTGTATTGGCGGTCAAGCTGTGGATCCTGGCTACACAGGAGTTGCAGCGGTGGGAATACGGTACCATTTTCACATGACATTTTCTATTCTTCTTTCATCCTCAGGCTGCCGAGATCCAAGGCAACATTTGCCAAGGCACAGTGCCCAAGCTGGAGGAAGGCAACCAGTACCAGTTCCGTATCCGCGCGCTGAACAAGGCCGGCCAGTCGGAACCTTCGGAGAACACCAACTGGCACACCGCTAAGGCGCGATTCTGTAAGTATAATTGAGCTTATAAATAATATTTTAAAAGCATCACTTCGAGATAGAAATGGAAAATCTTTATATGATACGAAAATAGAAAATATGAACAAAGAAAAAAAAATACGCATGGTATTTTTGTGCCAATCTTAGCGTAGACTTACCGCTAACCAAAACCTAGTTAAAAGTTGATAAAGTATAATTAGGATTGTGTTTATTGAAGTTCAACTTATTATTTTAAAGTCTTTATCATTTGACAAGTAATTCAGTTCCTAAGGTTCCTAATCAATTACTGTAGAAAGTTTTAATTTAGCATTGGCAACACTTTGTCTTACCCGCTCATAAAGTTTAAATTCAAAATCGGCCTGAATAATCCAGAAAAATCTCTTTTCTTCCAGTGAAACCAAGAATCGACCGCACCAACCTGAACCCAATCACTGTCAAGGCTGGTCTACCAGTCTCTCTCGACGTCAAGGTCTTCGGAGAACCACCAGCGACCGTGACCTGGTTCTTCAAGGGAACGGAACTGAAGAACGGCGAGAATCTAGAGATTATTAACGTGGATTACAACACCAAGTTCCTGATGACTAAGAGCAAGAGAGCTAATACTGGAAAGTACGTGATCAAGGCGAAGAATGAAGTGGGAGAGGATGAGGCTGAAGTGGAAATTACCATTCTGGGTGAGTACTTTGTGTTATGAAGTTTGTGTAGGTGGTATAAGGTTTCAAATCGAGGGAGAAATATTTTTGATAGTCTAGATTTTGATTTGGAAGCTAGATTCGTATTAACTGTTGTAATAAAGCTTCAAGAACCATTAACACAACTGAAATGTGATAATAAATGATAGAATACCTTTGTTGTCTTAAGATAATGAGTCGGATTTATTTGACCATTAAATCATGGGTTTGATGCTTAGGTTATATCTGGAAATACAAAGAAAAATGTGAAGTTTCCTGGGTTTAATTCCTAGGTCTAGACATAGATCTATATCCGCCGTCAAAACTGTTGATTAGGCTACTTCTCTAGCTTAAATCGCAATGAGAGTTCTTTCATTACAAAAAAATAAAGTTGCCGTTTACGAAGCGTTATTGTTACCAGACAAATAAAAACTTTTTGTTTACTTCTTTAACTTACAATCAATTTCCACCACAGGCAAGCCATCCAAGCCCAACGGTCCACTGGAAGTCGCTGACGTCACCAAGAACGGATGCACTCTTTCATGGAAGAAACCCGACGATGACGGTGGCTCGCCCGTGGAATACTACGAGATCGAGAAACTTGACCCGCTCACAGGTTTGTTAAGAAATGTATTTCTAAAGTAATTTACAGGACGCAGAAAGTTAAAATCCGGTTTGACGGTATTTTCTGGGTTAGATTTCCGTGGTGTATCATCATCACCTGATAGAATCCATAGGCTGACCTTGGCCTCTCAGTAGAATGTCAATAAGAGAGAGATTTTCTATCCAACAAATACAATAACAAAACTTATCCCTTTCAATCATAATGCCTATCGTTTTATCTTGGCAGAAGATCTTGTGAGATCGTGTAATTGTCCCATGTTTGGAATTAACAGTGTATTCTTGAATTAGGTTTAATTCAGAATTAAGTTGACTGCATAAAATGACTATGTTTACAAAAGAGCATGCCACTGATAGAATACTTTACGTTTTTCAATGTAATGTTTTTTGCACATCATTATCACCATTATCATCATCATCATCTCAACCATAGGACGTCCACTGCTGAACATAGGCCTCTCCCAATGCTTTCCATGTTACCCGGTTGGTTACGGCCTGTGTTTCTTGCACATCGGGACCTTTTTGGCACAATATTTATTTTATGTATACCTAATGTTTATTGTGTCTAATAAATAATTTATTATCTTATCTATCCCCCAGGACAATGGATCCCGTGCGGCACTGCCAAGGACTGCAAGGCGAACATTACTGGCCTGCAGGAAGGCAAGCCCTACAAGTTCCGCGTCAAAGCTGTCAACAAGGAGGGCGAGTCGGAAGAGCTGGAAACAGAGAAACCGATCATCGCTAAGAATCCTTTCGGTGAGTGTCTACAACCACATCTTCCTTTTTACTCTGCTAGCATGAGTGACAGACCAGATAGACCTGTAGCAGCTTCAAGTTTACGCTCAGAAACAGTGAAGATGAGTGACAGAGATAGGCAGCCCCGAAAATATTGTTACAGCTTTAGGATATAGCAACGCAAACGACCAACGCGTTGAGGAGAAACATAGTATGAAAATGATATATTGTCAATTAGCTTCTGCTCGTGATTTCAAACGCCTGGATATCAGTCCGCAAAAGAATTTGATAAAAAAAAGGATCTCAACTTTTCTATAGTTCCCTACAAATACTCTTCCTTACCAAAAACATCTCTAATCAAATGATGACCCTTCACTAACTTTTATCCTCAATTTTAGTATTTTTTTGTCCAATTTGGTCCATATTCACATTCTTTATTACGAAGAGATAAGTTTTCCAGTACATTTTACTTGTGATATATTTCTCACTTTCAAAGACTAATTAATTATTAATTTCCCAGACGAGCCCGGCAAGCCCGGCCGTCCGGAGCCCCGGAACTGGGACAAAGACTTCGTGGAGCTGGAATGGAGCCCGCCCAAGGACGACGGTGGCGCCCCCATCACCGGCTATATCGTGCAAAAGAGAGAGAAGGGTGGAAGGTAAGATTATGGTTCCTATTATTATTATCATTATTATCTTTTAGCGACAGGACGTCCACTACTGCAGCGGTTCCCGAATGGTGGTCCGCGGAACCCTGAGGTTCCGTGGAAAGGCCGCAAGGGTTCCGTAAAAATATTATCCCACGTTTCGTGACCGACGTTGTTCGCTCGCACCGACTTGTTTACGCACAAGGGAGGGGCAGAGCGTGCGGGCGGAGTAGTACGGGGGTTCCGCTAGGAAAAGTATAATCAATTAGTGCCTTTTCACACGTTCCGGTTGCCGGCTATCCGGCGCCGGGTACCCGGTCGTGAATGTATGGGCATATCGGATTAATTACGCCGGAACATGTGAAAGCTACGTACCATGCCCATACACTTCACCACCGGGTACCCGGCGCCGGATAGCCGGCAACCGGNTTCCGGTTGCCGGCTATCCGGCGCCGGGTACCCGGTCGTGAATGTATGGGCATATCGGATTAATTACGCCGGAACATGTGAAAGCTACGTACCATGCCCATACACTTCACCACCGGGTACCCGGCGCCGGATAGCCGGCAACCGGAACGTGTGAAAAGGCACTTAGGGTTACTTGGCAAAAAAAATTGGGAAACCCTGCACTACTGAATATTAGGCCTTACCCAATGATTTCCAAATCAACCGGTTGGTAGCGGCCTGCAGCCAGCGCCTTTCTGCTACCTTATGAGGACGTCGATCCATCTTGAAGGTGGACGTCCCACGCTGCGCTTTGGTTTCTATGCCGTATGGTGTTTAATTATGTGCCAAGGTATGTTGCTTGAAGATTTATTACTCGGTAAATGTTTATTGGCTAGCTAGAGTTAGCACTTACACCGGTAATTTGTTGTCAAGCATTCTGTTTATATCGATATAGGTCAAAGTTGTCAGAAAAAAAAGCGAAGCCACAGCTCTCAGCAAAAAAAAAATCTAGTCAGCAGAGAAAAGTAAACTGAAGACAGAAAGAAACCATAAAATGTTTTCATTTGCAAAAACAGTGGTCCAAATCAAAGGAAGATCCTTTGATTTGGACCCTGGCTCAGTTCTTCGAAGTAAATTCAGCTGAATTCGAAAACGGATCTTTATTCGATGTCGGTTTTTTAATATGCTGTTTTACAGCTCTGGGTCAGCACTTTTGAGCCAACCACTCATTGATTCATGTACTAAACTTAACCTAACCCCACAGATCATGGCAAGACTGCCTCAAGACGACCGGCGACCGCCCGACAGGCCGCGTGACGGATGTAGAGGAAGGCCACGAGTACGAGTTCCGAGTGATGGCCGTCAACAAGGCCGGCCCGGGAGAACCGTCCGACCCTAGCAAGTCTGTCATCGCCAAGCCTAGATTCCGTAAGTACCATGTATAAAGTCTTATTTGGTTAATAGCAATGACATAAGCTTTGGAAGCCACGATGTGACGTACGTGGGAGAAAGTCACTAGTAATAGTTCAGAGTGCTGGCCATCAACAAAACTGGCCCTGGCGAGCTCTCTGACCCTAGTAAGTCCGTCATCGCCAAGCCAAGATTCCGTAAGTAACCATTTATGGAAAACTTCTTTTTGGTGGCAATAACATATGCTTTGGAAGCCATAATGTGGAGGAGGGCCACGAGTACGAGTTCCAAGTGATGGCCGTCAACAAAACTGGCCCTGGCGAGCTCTCTGACCCTAGTAAGTCCGTCATTGCTAAGCCTAGATTCCGTAAGTAATGTCCGTCAGTCTCCTTATTTTTTATGGCAATGACATAAGCTTTGGAAGCCATAATGTGGAGGAAGGCCACAAGTATGAGGTCCGAGTGATGGCCGTCAACAAGGCCGGCCCGGGAGAACCGTCCGACCCTAGCAAGTCTGTCATCGCTAAGCCTAGATTCCGTAAGTAACTACCTATATCAGTCTCCTTTCTTATTGGCAATGATAATTATGAGCTATGGAAGCCATGATGTGGAGGAGGGCCACGAGTATGAGGTCAGAGTGATGGCCGTCAACAAGGCCGGCCCGGGAGAACCGTCCGACCCTAGCAAGTCTGTCATCGCCAAGCCTAGATTCCGTAAGTAACCTTGTATAAAAAATCTTCACTTTTGATGGCAATGCCATAAGCTTTGGAAGCCCATGATCTGGAGAAAGGCCACGATTTGGAGTTCCGAGTGATGGCCGTCAACAAGGCCGGCCCGGGAGAACCGTCAGACCCTAGCAAGTCCGTCATCGCCAAGCCTAGATTTCGTAAGTAACCAGCTATGTCAGTCTCCTTTCTTATTGGAAATAATATGAGCTTTGGAAGCCACGATGTGACGTACGTGGAAGAAAGTCACTAGTAATAGTTCAGAGTGCTGGCCATCAACAAAACTGGCCCTGGCGATCGCTTTGGCCCTAGTAAGTCCGTCATCGCCAAGCCTAGATTCCGTAAGTGGACATACAACATTGTTTTAGCGTGTAAAAAACCGCAAACAATTTTCAGTCCAAGATATCTTCGTTCGTAATTTAAGGACGTATACTGCTATACAAAGGTTTTCTAAGGATTTCCGCAACGACTGGTCTTGCGTTGCCTGTATCCATGTGTTTCCCGTGATTCTACAGTTTTCTGATGATCGCCACTCGAGAACTTTTCTTAACGACTATCTATTTATTTATTTTATTTAAAATCTTTATTGCACACATAAAAACAGTGGTACAACAGGCGAGCTTAATGCCATGTGGCATTCTCTTTCAGCTAACCAGAAAATTAGACAAAACAGAGAATATTACTAGACTATCAGCTCTACGAAATATGTGCCCGGCCATTGCGACTACTACTTTACTACTTTTTGCGTCTAGCTTTTGTCCGCAACTTCAGCGTAGATTTCGATAAAAAAAACCCTACGATCGATCCATATCCGATCCGTATCCGTGAAAATACGGTCCGAAGTAATCGTAGAACTATTCGTATGGTACTTAGTTTCCGTAGAACCGATTTCTCTTATCGTATGTTTAAATATTATTTCCTCCACAGTGGCCCCGAAGATCGACCGCAAGAACTTGCAGAAACGCAAGGTCAAGGTCGGCCAGCCTCTCAAGATGGAGGCAGATGTCAAGGGAGAACCAGAACCCACCATCACCTGGACCTTCAACGGACAGCCGCTCAAGCCTGAGGAGCGACTTAAGATTGAGAACAAGGTGAGTGACGTCATACTGTGAGTCAGGAACCCAGGATCAAGGTCAAAGGGAGAGCCAAAGCCCGCCATTACGAGGGCCTTCAGTAACTTGCGCCCGTATTCACAAACGATGCTTGATTAAATGAATCAGCAAATCTAACGTACAGCGTTGAATAGAGCTCTGTGATTGAATGTCACCCTGTGCGTCCACGCGCACTGTGAGACCTCATAGTAATGTTTGTGTAAAGCCTGGTCCGTGAGCACGTAGAATCCCGTCCAATGACCCCAAGCTACCCATCCTTATCGCTCGCGCGTAATTATATTGCTGTCGCGACTGTGCGACGCGCGCCCGCAGTGAGTGTGCGAGCGCGACAGCAACATAATAACGTGTGAACGACAAGGATGGGCAGCTTGGGGTCATTGGACGGGATTCTACGTGCTCACGGACCAGGCATTAGTAACATAAGCATACTGTGTTAGTCAAAGATCGAAGGTTGACGGATTTCAAGTTCAATCATCAATATTAAAAGAACAGCTACATACCTGACAAGCGATTTAAAATTGTAATTTAGCTATCTGCAAAACACTTGATGCCAAAACGGTTATCAAAATTAAACTTAACAAAAAATTACATTGCAATACGGTATCGCTATCGTACTCCCATAATCAGAGTATTGTCTCTAGAACAATATAAAGTCTGGTCACCAATCAGGTAGAATTGCGAGCGATATGGATGGGTAGTATGGGGTTATGGTACAAAATTCTATATGCTCGGCGACCGGACTTAACCATGTTATTTTTTGCAATATTCTTATGTATCTAAGACCTCAAAAGCTCGTTATTTCACACATATTAAGTATTAACCGTCTTATCTATCCCCAGGACTACCACACATCGTTCGCGCTGCAAAAGCTGACGCGCGCTGACAGCGGCAAATACGTCGTCACTGCTAAGAACGACAGCGGAACTGACACGGTCGAGATTGAAGTGCAAGTGGTCAGCAAGCCGGCTAAGCCGAAGGGACCGCTCAAGGTGTGTATCAAGCTAATATGTTTTTAAACACTATAGTTTAAGGTAGATTTCTCAGTGGCAGGGGAATAGATATTCTGCCCCTTTTCACCGACTCCAAAAAAGAATATTCTCATTATACTACAGATGAATACTTTATAGTGTGTATAGCCCGACCAGGAACATAAAAACCCTCGCCATGTTGCGGAAAACTAATGGTACTAATTTCTTTTAATGGCAACAGTAACTGAAAACTTCATTGACATGTCACCTTGCATGTCAGTCTATTGCTGTCAAAGTGTAAACAAACTTTATTTTAAATGTGTGCAATTGATTTTGTGAATTAAATTGCTAAAATCTTTTTATAGTCGTGAAAGAAAAGTGGTTCACAATGTGTATTTGTTTTTGTCGAAAGTATTTGTCGAAGAGAAATACTAAGGGTTCGGACAATATTTTCATTGAATAATGTTTCCGACAAAGGTTGTCAAATTGACTGACATGTTTATCGTATAGTACAGTCCACTATGAAAATTAGCTGTGGTTTGTTTCAACTACCTATTTTAAAGTTTTTTGTCACTTTCTAAGTGTTGAATTTTATGGAATTGGAAAAGAAGTACCGAGTTTCAAGCGTTCATGGCCAGACATTGCAGTTCAATATTCAAGTTCTGAATTTGATTATTGATGAATAATAAAATAAATCCTACTAGCTCGATTGATGGTTTCATTTAATTTATTTAAACCAGGTTACCTATAATAATATTTTTTCGTTAATTTATGAAAATATCAAATTAGCCCGTAATCCTGATACATAAAGCTAGCCTATTAATTTAACACAGGTACGACTGTACTCAGTGTTGCACTATCAAATGCAATTGACGCGCCTCTATGCCAGGGTTTTTATGTTCCTGGTCAGGCTATACATAGAGTCTAGGATGGTATATTTACTCGTACCTTTTTAAAGATCCTTTTTGGGAATGATATGGAAAGGTATTCAATGTCAAGTTTGCTACAAAAGAGTTTTTAATTTCTCCAACATGAAATGTCATACATTGTAGCTCAATTTCAAGTATGTTACATGGTCATTTAGTTTATGTGAATGAGAGTTTTCGCGATTGAAAAATCCGCCAGATGGCAATACGTAGACGCGAGGTCCAAATGCTGCATGATTGGTTATTTTTGACATGACATTGACAGATATGTCAAAATCCACCAATCACGCAGCATTTGGACCTCGCGTCTACTTATTGCCATCTGGCGGATTTTTCAATAGCGAAAACCCTCATTGAAGTTATTTTAAGTAATCAGTACATACTCCCGCTTTGAAAATCCTTTCTACTAGTATACTCTTTGTATTGCCACTAGTGTATAGAGATCTTCGCCAAAAGTGTTCGACAATATCGCTAATTGATCACCACCCTCAGGTATCCGACGTCAAAGCAGACGGCTGCAAGCTCAAATGGGAGCCGCCGGAAGACGACGGAGGCGAACCGGTCGAAAGCTACGTGGTCGAACGAATGGACACCGAGTCCGGTCGCTGGGTGCCTGTGTGCACCACCAAGACTCCTGAGGCTGACGTCACGGGCTTGAACGAGGGCAAGGATTACATGTTCAGAGTGAAGGCTGTCAACCCGGAGGGCGAGAGTGAACCGCTTGTGACTGATACCGCTACGACTGCTAAGAATCCTTATGGTGAGTGACAAATGTATCGCAAACTTAGCGTGGTGGTTAGGTTTTATTGGTAATCTGTAGATCCTGACTACACAGGAGTTGCAGCGTTGGGAACGAGAGGTCGAAATAGTCTAGAACTTAGCGTGAGACGCCCGATGGGCCAACGATTGGAAACGAGATCAAAAAGTCTTAGCTTTTCCTTCTGAATAACATTGTCATGATTTTTAGCCGTGTGGTTCCGGTAGAGTAAAATAGAAGCACCCTCACTGTCTGTGTTTCTATAACGACATTCACGGGGGAAGTCGTTATAGACGACTACAGTCTCTCCCTTGCTGGCTAAGGATTAGACGACTAAGGGTTTATGTGCCTACATCAGGTGTTTTCAACCTTTCTTGCCAACACGTGGGAAGTCTAGGACAGTCTTTCTACAGGAAACTAAATAAATTCTGATGATACTGATTTTTAAAACACCTAAACACAAACAAAAACAGTCTTTATTCCTTTGATCTTAAACATTTTTCTCCATCACAGGCGAGCCCGACCCGCCCGGCAAGCCCGAGTTCAAGGACTGGTCCAAGGAGCACGTGGACCTCAAATGGGAGAAGCCAGCCAACGACGGCGGCGCTCCTATTACCGGCTACATCGTCGAGAAGAAGGACCGTGACACCGGCAAGTGGGTGAAGGCTGCTGAGGTAAGTGGAAATTTAACACAATATGTTATAACCAATATGTTATAACAATATGTTTGTACCAACCCTACTGCTGTAAGAAAACTGATTGCAGGTGATTTCACGCGTCAGACTCGTCGACCTGACATATAGTCAAATTTCTTCGAACTTCTTTCTATCCATTTTTTTTCTCTTTGCTTCTACGTATAGTTAAAATTTGTTAATTTTTATACCCCTTGGTTATATAGAGGTGAAAACTATAGGCTTTGACCAACTACACTGTATCTATGCAATTTATATATTTGTAAGCTGTTTGTTTTCTGAATAAAACTAAATAAAAATAAAATAAAATAACTGAAGAATAAACTTGTCATTTTGACACACTTCCCATACTGAAATTGTCAATGTGCCAAACTTATTCTTCGGTTTATTAAAGTCCGACGATTGAAAAATCAGCCCTAAATGGTATAGATTTATAGAATTAGCAGTGTGGGTTCAGAGGAGAATAGGACCATCCCCACTCTTCCCGAGAGTGTCGTAAGAGACAAATATGTGAACATCAGGCCTCCCTAACTCATCTGGTCAGCGCTGAAGCGTAAGGAGTGTCGGTCAAATCCTCCATTTGCCCCTGGTAAATTAAAGAGGGCCGTCCTCGTAATGGAAATTACTTGATGATGATGAACTAGTAAAAAATGTCTTGAACCATACATTACTTAAAATAGGGTAACAATTTATAGTCACCAACTAAAAGAATAACAGACTAGTAGATACTTGGTCCCTGTAGCTTTGTAAAAGCACTTGAATAAGCAATCTCTATTTTATTTCACCTTTTTGTCGTTTTCTAAAAATAAAGATACAACAGGCCAAACCTCTCTCTCTTATGGTCCTCTTCACTCCACCCTCTTCCCCTTTAAACCTCGTGAATATTCACCTCCCTTTCCCTCTCAGGTGCCCGGAAACAAGACAGAGGCCCGTGTTCCCGATCTGATCGAAGGCAAGACATACCAATTCCGCGTGAAGGCCGTCAACAAGGCAGGACCTGGCAAGCCGTCCGCAGCTTCAGAGAATCTGCTGGCTAAGGACAGGTTTGGTAAGTAACTCAGCTATAATACCTCCATGGATTTGAACCTGTATCTTTAGTGTAAGGCATCCATTTCCAAACCCATTTGCGCGTGATATCTCGTCGTGCGCTCTCTGCCGATATAGCTCTAGTTAAGACACCTCACAGATTACAGACTTTAAGTCGGCCGATAGTTTGACCGACTTGTAATGTGTACGAGGATTCGACGATACCAAATCGTTGTAATGTGCGCGCTACGGGCGCTACCACACATGTTCATACTGATTAGCCCGACCAAACTATCGGCTGACATAATATCTGCAGTCTGAGGGGTGTCTAAGAAATAAAGGTGTTTCTCAGAGCATCTGTCTAAATGAGTAGAGATGTCAAGAATAATATAATTCTACTCATAAAGTTTCATAAAACAGAATAATATTGTCAATTTTTAGCTGATCCATTTTGCTCCAAGTCCAATTAAACACAATTTTATTGTATGTTTTTGTTTCTTGTAGCGCCACCTAAGATCGACCGCACCAATATGCGAGACATCACCATCAAGGCTGGCCAGAACATTCGGTTGGACATCAAGGTTTCTGGTGAACCTCCACCAACAAAGACTTGGTGAGTTTTGTGTTTCAATCAGTCTTTACAGGATAAAGTAACGATTA